GGAGTATAACGACACAATAAGCAAGTGAAGCACAGAAGGAAAGAAGGGAACGAGACGCCACGCAAAGGAAAGACACGAGGAATGCGCCACACTCTGCACGTCCTGTTGCTGTTGCTGCTGCTCTGCTGCTGCACCACTTCTTTTGCCACCGCCGAGCATCGCTGCATATTTGACCGCATTTCTCGCAAGGCTGGGCCCCCGATGAGGGCAGTTGTGCGTGAATTGCCGGGGCGGGAGCGTGACGGGACGCAGGTGTTGACTGCCTCTGTGGCCGACTGGGCGCCCCTCCGTTTTAAGGTCTTCTCGGAGGACATGAACAATGCTTCCAGGTACTGCACCGCTGCGGGAGAGTTAAGCTTGGACTTGGAAGGAGGAATCCATGCGTGCCAGCAGCAGGATGTTCTTACGGCCAAGAAAAAGTCCATCATCTTGAATCAGATGCTTCCCCGAGCCATACAGCTGCACATGGATCGTCTCCACGTTCAACCGGAGAAGCGCCCAGTGATTGTTCCGAATTTTTCGTCTGAAACACTATGCAGTAATTTTGAAATACCCAGCTCCCACCACACGAGGGGTGTGCCCGGCGCGGACATGGTTTTGTACGCCGCTGCTGCCCCGATTCAAGGCACTACTATTGCGTGGGCAGTGGGGTGCTCCGTGTTGCCCAGTGGACGTCCTGCGGTCGGGGTGATAAATTTTGGCCCGTATTCAGTCACCGATTCGGAATTCGGTGTTCGTATTGCGGCGCATGAAATCGCGCACACGCTTGGGTTTGAGATGCGCTTTTTTGATGCCAGGAATATGACACAGACGATACCTGAGGTTCGTGGAAAGGAGAATGTGGTCGTTGTGTCTTCACCCAAGACGCTGGAAAAGACTCGTGCGCACTTCAACTGCACAAGTGCCCCTGGAATGGAGCTGGAGGATGAGGGTGGGGGTTCAACGGTATCATCGCATTGGAAGAGACGCAACGTAAAAGACGAGCTGATGGCTGGACTTCCCGGTGCCGGCTACTACACGGCGCTGACGATGGCTGTTTTTGAGGACATGGGCTTTTACAGGGCGCAGTGGAGCATGGCGGAACAGATGCCATGGGGCAACAACTCCGGCTGCGAACTGCTGACGGAGAAGTGCCTGACTAATGGCACCACCCAGTACCCAGAAATGTTTTGCGACTCCACATTCTATCTTCCGGAATGCACATCGGATCATTTTGCCGTGGGGAGGTGTAGTATTTATGGCTACAACAGCCCCCTTCCAGCACAGTTTCAGTACTTCACGGATCCCAGAGTCGGCGGGCTCCTTGGCGACCTAATGGACTACTGCCCCTACATTAAAGAGCAAGAACACACGGGGTGCATCGATGGTGACGCAGACGTTATGCGTGGAAGCCGCATTGGCCTGGTGTCAAGGTGCTTAAAAACAGATGGGCTGCGTGATTCTGTTGGCCTCATTGGGGATGTGTGCGCTGAGGTGTCGTGCAGCAACGACACGGTGAGTGTGCGGTACCTTGCTGATGACACCTGGCATGCATGCCCAGAGGGCGGCACTATCACACCAACTGGGCCGGTGTTCAAGGGGGGGAACATTGTGTGCCCGAGGCGCATTGAAGTGTGTTATGCATACGAATCAGGCGATGGTGGTGTCGATGCGAGTCAGTTGGCGTCGATTTTCTCCTCAATTTTAGTGGTCCTGCTGGTCACGGTTTTAGTATTAATGTGTTGATCATAGCATAGGAAGCGCGCTGCGCAAACGCCAAATTTGTGATGTTTGGGTTCGTGCTGGGGGCAGGTAGCTCCAAGCGGCAACACCTTTCTCTTCTTTTTCCACACTTGAAGATAAAACTGACATAAAAATAACAAATAAAAATGTGTGTTTTTTCCTCCTTGTTTCTACCACATGTGTCTAATGGGTGTGTGTTTTTAAAAACAGTTACTGCAAGCGAGGGAAAAGTAAATACGGCGGTGCGCATGACACGCAACGCGTGGGAAAAGTTGTGCCCACCGTGTCGGGGATGTTTTAAAATTTATTATTATTATTATTATTGAGGGCCTTTCAGGGGAATGGCCTGGGTTTGACGTGCGTGCGGTGGGGTAACACTCCGGTGCGATTCTCTCGGATGTGCCACTGCGTATCGTTCCTCTCAGTGCATGGTTTTTGAAGGAAAATTAAGTTCATGGGCAGGCTTGTTTACTGCCTCCCGCAAACACCACGCTGAACAATTTCTGAGGTAAATTGGCCAGCCACGGCTGAATGGTCCAACGGCTTTTTTACCCCACTTTTGCTTGGTGCATTCCCTGCAATTGAGTTGCCGTTGCTGGTAGCCCTTGAGCCGTGGGCGAAGCAACAAAAGAAAAGAAGAAAAAGGATTTTGCCTCTCTGTGGCATTCTCTAGCGTATTTTGTCATGCCAACGGGCCGAGAGTCCGCCTGGGCACTTGGCGGCGCACCGTCGGTCTTTTTGTAGTGAATAGCCGGCCCTCGGGGAGGGCGCACCGGGGTGACCCCACTCGCAATAATGCGTCCGGGCCCCCATTGGCGGACGAAGGCTTCCACGAGCAACGGCGTGCCCGCGTTCAGGCCCAGGCGGTGCGGCATCGGCTGGGAGGGGTGCCAGCCGTTGCCTTGCCAGGGAGCTGCTCGGGCAGAACGTTTGAGCGGCACGTAGGCGCACTTGCGTGATGCATGTGGGGCGGGCAGTTTTATGCCCGCAGTGCGGCTTCGCGACGAGCGGTGGAAAAACACATCGCGGGCACT